GGGGGTGTCTATTATAAACTTCCCGGTTAACTTCGTCGGCGAGGCTCCCCTCTCCTTGCGACCCTGCAGCAGGCACCAGGCGGGAAAGAGAGGTCGACCATTCCGATGAGGCCACCGACAAGTTCCTTCTGGCATCCCGGGTTTCAGACGCCATCCCGCATACTCCTTCGTCGAAAACATCGAATCCGGGCAGATTTCGTTTTAAGGCTACGATCTGATGCACAATAACTCGAGAGCGAGTCCGGCGGAACTCTCTGCGACTTTTCGGAAACTGGGACTGGACTGCACCGGTACGAAATCTGACTCTCCGCTGGGAGAAGTCTGCACGAGGAGACTCTGGCGGGCTCTCGAAGACACAAGCGCCCAGCTCCCCCGTGAAATGGACCTCCGCGGTCTCTCCCCACCCCACCCGCCTCCGGCACCCAGAGAGGAACGGCCGGCTCGTTCTGTCTCCAGGGCAAAAAAAGGGGGACGGGGGTGGGTGGGTTCCATCCCGATTCCAGCGCTTCCCGCAGCGCTGGGAAGACGCCGACAGAAACCGCGTGCGGCGATTTGGGACGGGTTCGGGAGCTGCTGCGCTGAGAAGACCAGGAGGGGACCAGGAGCCCCACCAGCGAGAGAGAGGCCGGCCTTCTGTCCTTCTCTCTCCTGAGTAGACGCGCTTTCAAACCAAACTGTGATTGCTCCAAACCAAACCAGTCTGCCAACGCAGTCCTACGAACACTCTCCCGGGAGCCCGCCCGCCCCTCTGAATAGGCCCGATTCTGAGCAGACCTGTTTAGGATTGCGCGGTCAGCGACTCGAGGATCACCCCAAGAGCAGCACTCTGAAAGCGCAGCCCCCAGCGCCTCCCTTGAGAGCCCTCTTTATTTCCGCGGGATTTACCAGACCCAGGAAAGCCCACCCTGGAAGAAACGGCCAGCTGACCGTTCGGGCTTTTGTCTGCGGAGCTCTTCCGCCGGGCTCCCAAATCCCTGAGGCCGAAAGAAGAGCCAGCCCGTTTACAACTGACGGCGCGGAGATGTAAGACGTGGCAGTCGCCATCCTACACAGAGTGACGCCCTCCTAAACCCAGGTCCGTGCAGCAGGCCAGCGGGTTTAGAAGGAGGCAGCTCTGTTTGGGACGGCAACTGCCTTCTGAGCCCGGTCGCTCCTGGGAGCTCGTAAACTGCATCTCGAA